TATTAAACAACAACTGAACAAGGGGAATTAGATCTTGATAAAAAAGCTCCCGAGTAGTAACCTTTTTTTTAAAGGAAGGGTTAGAATCGATACGGGGGAGACAAAAATTTAAACTTCACCATAATTTCAAGCAATTCTTAAATACACTTTTCGTCTTTCACATGCTGTTTGTTTTATAAAAATTGTTCATCAACTACTAAGAAGTCTTACTTATCCTAAGTTTGAATGTCTATTTGAGTGTCTCATGGGCAGAGAGAACTGCAGGGATGCAAAGATGTGGGAAACAGTCCCTCCACTGACTTTAATATCAGTAAATATCTTCCTATGACAAGGGGTTTTGGGGTGGGCATGAGTGTGGAAGGTGCACATCAGAGGAAGTTATTTCGGGTGGAAGAAACATAGGAAAGATGGCAGAGAAGTTTGAATATCAGGCTGTGATCTTTATTCTTAATTTGGTTGTAGCTGTGGTATGGAAAGATTAATCTGATGGCTGTGTGTAGCATACATCAGAAGAGTAAAACAGGAGACAGTTTCATAGAGCATTACAACAGGGGACAAGAGAGGCCTTAAGTAACCCAGTGCAAAACTTCTTTAAAGTCTCTTACTAATTTTACCTACTCCATATTGTTTATTAAAAATATTGTTTTAAATTAGTTAAATTCTTCCCCTTCACAAATAAAATTCCATTTAAATGGATTCCCAGAAGCTCGCCACCCTTAGCCACTCCCTCCCCAAGGTAACGTTAGGTAGGCTATCAGCAGGGGAAATGCAGGGGCAGTGAATCTGTGATACCATAAGAACAGACTCTGGGACCTGACAGCTGTTGGAGAGTGGAGGAAGGAAGTTGGAGTGACTCTGGTTTCAGAGTCATCCGTAGACTCTGTCTAGGAGAGTTATCAGTAAATAAGAAAGACAGGGAAGGGTGGCTGTGGCACAGAACATTGCTCATTCTGTTTAGACACATGCTTGTATTAGATGTTGTCCAGCTGGCTTCGAGAAATGTGGTTTTGGAGCTAAGACAGTTTAGTCATCCTCTCATGGAGGTGATTGTTGAAACCATATGTTGAAAGTGGCACTTCTCTTGTTTTCTGCCCCTTGTTTCAGTTTCAAAACTCTGCTTCAGCAAGATGTGAAAAAGAGAAGAGGCTACGGAAGCTCATCTGATTCCAGATATGATGATGGAAGAGGGTATAGCTTTTAAATTAATAATAGATATTTTTACTCCGTTGTGTATTTTAATTAAATTAGATATTATTGCTAGATGACACATAGTCTCATGGAAATTAAAAGTTATATTCTGTTTCACAAAATTAATACATTACTGTAAATTGTCAGGTTGCCTCTGAGTTGATAGAGTTAATCTGGCAAAGTTAAAATGTACCTCAAATATCCTATGGGAAATATCTAAATTAGAGGATGAAAACTGATGGCCAACATTAAAATCTGGAGATTTACTTTTGAATCTGGATTTCCAGCTGCTAATGAAAAAGTCAGAAGATCAAGTATCTCTGGGTTAGGCTTGTGTTTCCATGTGGCAAAAGTCAGTTGGAGCGGGTTTTCAGTTGGGCGTTTATAGGAGGTGCTGTTCACTTCATCGCAGTCCTTGCTTGACTCAGCTTTGCTCATGTTCACTGTGTGTCTGGTCCCTATAAGGGTTTGAATTTTTGACCTAAATGGTAGTTCCTATTTTAAAGAAAAGAGTCTATTTGAGTGTTTAAAAGGAATCAATTGAAGTAATGTCTCCTAAACAGTAGAAATTAACTTTTTCTTCTTTTAGGCCACCAGGAAACCCCCGCAGAAGAATGGGTCGGATTAATCATCTGCATGGCCCAAGTCCGCCTCCAATGGCTGGGGGATGAGGAAGGTAAGTTCAAATCTGAAATTATTCTGTGGGAATTTCCTTTGGAAAATGCCTCCTTAAGAAGGTTTTCTTTGGGAAAAGAAGTTGCCCAATATTTTGTAATCCAGACATCATTATTTGGAAGAATATTTATATCTTGACCCTTGAAAAATCCTTGGCTGTATTATCTAAATATCTTTTGAAAAAGGTTTTATAATATCTGTTGATTGTTGGGCTTTTCATCCAGATCCAAATTAGTAACTAGTAACTAATTATTATAATGTTTTCTTTGTAAACATTCTAGGTAAATGTCTGCTCTAAGAAGCAGACAGCTGGACATGCACATTCATAGCAGAAGGAGACCATCAAGGAGTGGAGGGCTGACCATGCTGGACAAGTAGATGAATGTGTATGTCTGAATAAGGATTGCCCTGTGTCCTCACAGATAATGAGGTCGTGCTGGGAATTCCCTCCACAGGGATCTGGCATGACTGACATGCAGTTCTATAAATGCGTATGTTTGTCTCATTATCCTTTTTGTATAGTTTATGAAACTATTAATATAGTTTTAATAAGGAAATATTTTTAGGTTACAAAACTGACTTCTCATCTTTATATAATTAAAATACAAAAACTCTGAATTTGAAGAAAAATAAAAGGCTGTGTATTAGTACTTTGTGTCACCTTTTTCAACTTCTGAAATAGTGTTTATTGTTAATTTGTTCTCATTTATAAATAAATCACATTGTATTTATTTCAGTAGTGTGCATACAATATCTGTCCTCTTGAATTAATTTTTATCTTGAAACATTTGTCCCATGAATCTTTAATACATGTCTGAAAATTTGCTGCCAGATACAATTAGCAGGATATTTATAAAGCCATAACCGACAAAACTGAGCTACGAAATGAAGATTTGCTAGGTGATCTTTAAATTCGTGGACTTCAATGCTATCTTGACAGATTTGAGTTCTAAACTATTGCATAACATACTGCCTGTCGGCGTTAACCCCATTTGAATGCTGATAACGCGCTCGCTCTTTCACCAGAATGGAAGCTCTGTGAGGTTAGAGATTTTGTCCTCTTTACTCCAGTGGTTTGAACAATGACTACATGTAATAGGCACTGACGTATTTACTGAAAAAATGAATAAGATAGGTAATTCTACTTCCAGTGTTTAACAGGCTTTGAAACCAAGTGTTCAGTTAAGCCATTTTTATATCCATTTATAAGTATTTATTCAACCCTGTTTGCCAGGAATTGGGGATGTAGTGACATAAGACAGTGGTCTTCCACCGTAACGAAAGAGGCAATTATACCACAAGTTTAAAGATAATAAAGATAATTTATCGATCACTCAAGTCTGTGTCAGACATTTTATCTTTTACGTACTGCTAATTCTGACGCACTGAGGTGGTAGATGATATTTGCATTATACAGATACACACAAGGGCTCAGTAAAGTTTAGTAACTTCCCAGATAGTATGGCTAGTGAGTGGCAGAGTCATTCTGTCAAACTGCCTAAGGCTGTAGCGGGGAGACAGGGGCAGAGTCTCAGTAGGTGATGGCTTCTCGGCATGTGACCCATGATCTCCCGCCCCTCAGGACTGCAGCTGCAGGACTCTTCCTTAGGGCTTATCCTAGCTAGAGTCCTGACTGCATTTGACATTTAGCCGCCCCACTGCATGTGAGGTAGTTAAACTATTGTAGGGCAGAGTGTAGCCTCTTGAGCAGCCTATGCTCAGATTCATCTTTGCTACTCAAGAGCTTATGATCTTGAGTGAGTTATGTCATTCTATCCCACTTTACTCATCTGTAAAATGGGGATTAAATTCCTACCTCAAGGGGTTCTTCACTTAGCAGTATTTAGTCAACAAATGTTTATTGGGCACCAGCCATATGCTGAAGGAAACAGTAGCAAATAAGACAAAGTCTCTCATCTCATGGAACTTACTTTCTAGTGTGGGAAACAGTAAGTGAGCAGACTACATAAGTACAGACTTAATTCCTGCTGCCAAGGAAATAAGAGGAGGATAACTGAGGGAGGCCTCTTTGAGGTGACAGTTGAGACAGGACAAGAATGGCCCAATGATGGGAAGGGCTTAGTGTGTCTGAGAAGCTGAAAGGAAGCCAGTGTAGCTGGAAATGCCAAAGGATGGGGGAGAGGTATACAGTGAACCTAGAAATGTGGCAGATAATAGATTAAGTATGGCTTATAGGCTGTGGTTAGTTTAGCTGTTTACCGTGAGCAAAGGGAGTTTAAAGCATGAGAGTTTAAAGCATGGGCTTAATTTTTGTTTGAGCTAACTCTAATATTAAGTGGAGTGCTGGGTACATACTATTGATTGTCTTAACTACTTCACAATATTTTAAAACTTGACACTTGGGCAATTGTATGAAGAACAGATCACAGGAGGACAAGACTGAAAGCAGGAACTTGGGTTAAGAGGCTGTTGTAGTCGTCTGTGTGAGATGATAGTAGCTTGGACCAGGTAGTGGCAGTAGGAATAGAGAAGTGCATGCATTCAAGGTATATGTTAGGGACTGCAGAATTTGCTGATGGATTGGATGCAGAAGATGGACAACTGAAGAATCGAAGTGATATTTACTGAGATGGTTAAAGTGGGCGTAGGTTTCTTTGGGGGTGTAGGGATCAAAAGTTCCATTTTGTACATAATTAAGTTTGCAATGCCTTGTTGACATCCAAGTGGAAATTCAGAATATGTCAGTCTGGATCCCAGGAAGAGGTCCAAACTGGAAATATATATTTGGGAGTTTTCACATTTAAAGCCATGAAACTGTATAAAGTCATCTAAGGAGTGTGTAGAGAGGAGACCTAGCTCCAGAGAACCCTAACATCAGAGTCTGGACTGAGCACGACCGGTGACGTGAGAGAACTAGGAGTATGCATGGTGTCCAGGAAAGCAGGAGGAGAGACAGGCGTGAGGACCAAATAAGATGCCAGTTATTGGCTGGTCCAGGGTAAGCGCTCAAAACAAAAACCACGTTCGTTGCTTGCATGCTACAGCCGGGACCAATCACAGCAGCATCCACCCAATCCACTCCCCGCCCCGCCCCGCCCGCGGCCCTCTTCGAGCAGCCCCGCCCTTCCGCCTTCCCGGAAGTCTCTGAGGCGATTCCCAGGTGGCCATCTTTATTGTGGGCAGCTGGCCCGGAGGCTGCGCATGCGCGAGGGTCCTTGCACTCTGGTGGTCGCGGCGCCGCTCTGGGGCTGGAGGCTGGTGGGTGTTGGCGGCCGCAATGACCCAGGCGGAGAAGGGGGACGCGGAGAACGGGAAGGAGAAGGGCGGGGAGAAGGAGAAGGAGCAGCGCGGCGTGAAGCGGCCCATCGTGCCCGCGCTGGTGCCGGAGTCGTTGCAGGAGGTGAGGCCCCGGGGGCAGGTCTCGGCTGAGGGCCCTCGGCCTCTAGGCGGGGTGGGGAGGCCGGGGCCGTGCACAGCCTCGGGGCGCCCCTCGTGGGGGGTGCAGGGGGTGTCCGTACCCGTCCCGGTCGTCGCGGGTCGTCGCGGGTCGGGACGCCGGGGCGAGGGAGCGCCGCGGGCTACGGGGCCGGGCGGCCGGGTCACTGACGCGTCCCCACCGCCCGCCTCCACCAGCCGCCGTGCGAGCCTCGGCGTCCCCGCGGTGACCGAGGACGGGGCTGTCCCCTGCCTCCCGAGCTGCTGTGAGGTTTCAGCGGTCGCAGGTGGCGTTTAGCGCCGGGCCTGGCTCCCAGGGAGCATCTCTCAGTGCTGGTGACGGAGAGTTAGGGTTCAGACTTTCTTCTCGGTTAAGGAAATCTCAGGTAGTGGAGGTCATTTCAAGCTTAAAAGGAGGGAAAAGGTAGACGTTTGTCTGAACAAACGTTAGGAACTAGTGTGTCAAAGAGAGTGCAAGATTAAGCCATACCAACCAGAAAAACGTTATTTGCAGTAGCATGGCAGGCACAGGGCGTTGATATTTATAATCTTACTAGTTAGTCAAGGAAACGCCAACATTGCCATGGGAAAACGGGCAGAGGCAAGGTACCGTTCTCAGCAGAAGTCAGGAGGCATTTAAATGCTCAGAATTTCGTGTTGGACATCTCTGAGGGCGTTTCCTCACTGGTAGAGGGGTTAAGGATAATACGTAGCAGCTGTAAAATATACAGCACAGTGCCTGGCACATGGTAAGCCCTCAGGGGGGTTATTACTGTTGCACAGGCCTCAGTTTCTCCATCTGTCTAGTTGAGGGGCAGACTGGATGGCAGACTAAGGGCCCTGCGGGTTCTCACCCTCTAGGATTCTCCTGCTCTGTGAGGGGGAAGCTGGAGGGAGAGCTCGCAGTTGTGGTGGGGCCACAGGTGTCAGAGCGTGGGGTGGGAGGACCCTGTGGAGTTACTGGGCACCCGCAGAAGCTACCTCCTCCAGCCCTGATGGTCTGGGACAGTTTCTTCAGAGGCAGTGATGTCTGGACTAAGGCCTGAAGGATGATTAGGAGTTAGGCAGGGGGAAGGAGGAATCTGAGAGAGGGAGAACAGCGCGGAAGAGACCTGGGGCGAGACAGGATGTGAAGTGTTGGAGATCAGCATGGAGTTGGGGAAGAAGAGGAAGCAAGAGATGAGACTGGAGATCTTAGCAGGGGCCGTATCGTGATGGTCATATAAGCCAAAGAGTCTGGCCCCTTCTCAAGGTGATAGAGAACTTTTGAAGCGCCAGCCAGACTCTGAGCTACTTGATTAACTCTGAATCCCTGCAGTAACTCTCTGTGGTAGAAACTTCAGCAGAGCGAGGAAGTGATGCAGTCTGAATTTGAAGCCAGGTCTGTGACTCCACGCCTGAGCCCTTAACCACTGTAGCCACATTTCCTTAACTTCAGTCAGTTGTTTAACACTCTTTGGTTTTTCCCTATCCTCTGTGGCACCTGAGCTGTAGTTTGCTTGGTAACTTTTTTGCTCCATCTTATCTTAAGCGGTAGTATCCAGGAAATAATATGTAGGATGTACCAGCTAGTTTTTTTTCTAATACATTAAAATAAATATGTAATTATTAAAAATAGTTGTCTACACTTTTGGATACTACATGTACTACCTCAGATCTTCTCAATGTCCAGTAGCCTGTGTGCCATTAACAAAGTTACGGGTATCCCTGATGGCAGGCAGCCTCATCTGTTTGTCCCAGTCTGCTGGACAGATGTTGTCTGCCACAGCACAAAAAGCTTGGGAAGTACTGTTCAACATCATGCTGTGTGAAAGTGATGCCATCCTCATTCAACAGTTACCCCCTGGCTCTGTGTACCACGTGCCGGCATAGAGTAGTGAACAAGACAGAAGTGAGCCCTTTTCACAAGAAGAGTTTTATGTGTTGAGAGGGCAGACAGTAAATAATTATGAGTGACAAGTGTCATGAAAAGAAGGTATGCTCTAAGATTACAGTCATGTGCTGCATGACGATGTTTCAGTCCATGGCCAAGTGCATATACGACAGCGGTCCCATAAAATTAGTACCATAGCGCCTAGGTGGGTAATTGGCTTTACCATCTAGGTCAGTGTAAGTACACTGCATGATGTTTGCACAACTATGAAATCACCTAGTGAGACATTTCTCAGAATGTATCCCCATTGTTAAGCGACACATGACTGTGTATTGCAGGGGGACGAGCAAACCTAGTCTGATGGCATTTAACTTCAAACCTAAAGGAAGCAGTAAGATTTACCAGAGAGAAAGAATATTGTAGGCAAAGGGAATTGCTTTTGTGAAGGCCTAGAAGTCAGCATGGTGAGTTAAGAAATCAAGAGACACCTAGATTGGGAGGATTAAAGAGACCCAAAAAGCGGGGCTGGCCCTGTGGCATAGTGGTTGAGTTTGGCATGCTCTGCTTTGGCAGCACAGGTTCATAGGTTCGGATCCTGGGTGCAGACCTATATCACTCGTCAGCCATGCTGTGGTGGCAATCTCCATATAAAAAAAAAGTGGAAGAAGATTGGCACAGATGTTAGCTCAGGGCTAATCTTCCTCAAGTGAAAAAACGAAAAAAGAGAGAGAGACCAAAAAGGAAGTTGTTCCAGAGTAAGCTTAGAGAAGTAGGCAGGGTCTTGATCTTTGAGGTTCTGGACTTAATCTAATTGGCAAGCTGTGGAAATGTTTTAAGTGGAAACTTGCCAAGAAGACACCACTTTAACTCGGGGCAGGCAGAGTACGTGCTAGCTGAGGAGTCACGCTGGAATGCTAGCTCTTAACAGAGGATCCTGTTGTCAAAGGGGTTGTCAGGGTCTTCTTCCTTCCCCGACTCCCTACTGAAGCTTTGGGTCTCCAACAAGTTTACATGGTAAAGGTTCCCCAGGTGATTCAGATTAGATTCTGCCCCCTTGTGAATTATGGATCTAAAACAATTACCATCTGAAAGTAAAGTCCACAGTCGCCACTCCACTGTCCTGATTTGTGCTTTGTCAGTCCTTGTTCACTGTCTCCCGAGAGTGGATTGTGAAATGCAGCGAAGTTATCTGACTTATGAGGATAGAATTGTGAACTTGGGCTTTTTAACCCCAGATTTTTGCCCAATCAGGTAAGTAGCACAGAACCAACAACGGTAAAGTTTTTAAAAACAATGACCAAAATACGGTTTATGCACGCACTTGGAAGGGGTCTTACTTCCCAGGATTACAAAATAATACTTTTATCCTTACATTAATTTTTTTCCCTCACCTGTTCAACCAGTGGTTTTAAACCTGAGTGATCATATTAATCACCTCAGGAGCTTTTGAAAATTGCAGACTCCTCAGCTTTCTCTCTGGAGAGTCCGAATTAGAAAATTTGTAGTGGGAGGCTTAGGGTCATTTTTTCTTTTTTTTTTGTACAAGCATCTTTAGGTGATTCAAATTTAGGGAACCAGCACTTTACTAGTCATAGTATTCCCTACACTCTTATTCCTTGTTTGACTGTCTTCCCTGGTAAACAGAAGCATCTCTGACAGTCAGGACTTATTCTTGGTACCCCTTGTACCCACAGTGCCTGGCACGGAAATGTCCAGTAATTGCAGGTTAATTTACATTGGGTGATTATGGTTTTATTAATTTAAACAAATATTTGTTGGGCTGTGTACTGTGAGTCGGATCCTAGGAACACAGAGATACAAAATGAGTTTGTATTCAGGCAGGGAGCAGCAACCAGATGCCTCTCAAAGAACTCTGTTTACTGAATTATTTTGATACCTTTGAGTTCAATAGTCATTACAGGAAACTACCTTCTTAGTCTAGCTTGTTACTATATGTTATTTAACTTGTTACCTGCAGATTATTTACTAAGGGCACACTCCTGTGTTTTATATTTGCAGCAAATCCAGAGCAACTTCATCGTCGTCATACATCCAGGTTCAACAACTTTAAGGATTGGTCGAGCCACAGACACCCTTCCTGCCAGCATTCCTCATGTCATTGCACGAAGACACAAACAACAAGGGCAGCCCGCATACAAGGACAACTGGCTCCTAAGGGAGGGACTAAATGTAAGTCAGAGTTGGAGAACCTGGAGAGAAAGCCCAAGGTTATTTCCTTGAGAGGGCTTAGACATCCAAGCGTACACAGTTATCTTGAATAATTACATTTGTAGCTTTAATGGGTTTTAAAACAATAGCATCATTCAGGATTACAAATGTCATTTTTCATCTGATAGATTGTAAAGAAATAATTATAACAAAAGTAAGTCCAATTTTTTTTAACCATCAGGATGAATTGAGTATTGATAAATGTGATCTTAATGGAAGATACAGAATTGTCACTTGAAGTGATACGTTCGAGTCTCTATTAACTGACTGCCATATTTTCTCTTCCAGACACTTAGAGTTTAAACTGAGCTCATATTTTCAGTCCATAAGCAAATTGAATTGCCACAATAAACATTTATTAGAATCTTAGGTCAAATCATAATTTAAAGGCAGTAAACATTTACTTTTTTTGTTTTACAGATTTTATTTTTTTTCCTTTTTCTCCCAAAGCCCCCTGGTACATAGTTGTGTATTTTTTAGTTGTGAGTCCTTCTAGTTGTGGCATGTGGGACACTGCCTCATCATGGCCTGATGAGCGGTGCCATGTCCGTGCCTAGGATTCGAACCAGTGAAACCCTGGGCTGCCACAGCAGAGCATGCAAACTTAACCATGTGGCCACGGTGCTAGCCCCAACACTTACTTTTTGCAGATAGTAATTTTTAGGAAAAATTTTCAAGATAGGTGATAAATATATATATTGCATTGTAATCCACTTTTAAGTTTTAAATTGAGGATAGTTTTAGGAACTTGCAGTTTCTATAATTCTGATAGTAAGCCCTAGGATTCCAATTTTTGACATAACTAGCAGACTATACTTAAGTCCACTTCTAAATTTAAATATAACTTGACGACATAAGAGTCTAAAATTCACCTATGTCTTTGGATCTTAGAATTCTACTTTAGGGAGTAAATCTCAGGAATAAAAATGGAAAGAAAACAAAACATATCTACACAAATATTTATGGGTATTTTACATTCTTTACTGTATCACAATAACTTGAATACTTGTTGATTAAGCAAAATAACACATGAAGTAATATAACATTGTTATAAAATTGTAAACCTGAGAATTATGTAGATGTATGGAAGAGTCTCTGAAGTAGTTTGTCAATATAAAGTAGCTATGCTCTGAGGGGTGCTAGGAAAAATTTTATCAACCAGAAGTCATTTGAGGTTATAGATTTTTGCAAATAGTTGGTTTATGGTGAGGGTTCCTTTCTGACTTTTATTATAAATAATAAAAAGATTACTTTGAATTCTGAAGATTAATACATATGTCAGAGATTAAGGAAATGCTATTTATTGACAAGGGAGCATTTCCCATTGCTGGATTAAATTACCAGTTTGCCAAATTGCCTTCTTTTTCACCAAATCCTTCGTACTGCTCATATTTCATTCTTTTTTCCCAGAAACCTGAAAGTAACGAACAAAGACAAAATGGTCTTAAAATGGTGGATCAAGCAATATGGTCTAAAAAGATGTCAAATGGTACAAGACGGATTCCCGTGTCCCCTGAACAGGTTCAGTCTCAACTCCTTAGATTTGTTCTTTTACCACAGCTACTCTATCATAATGCCATTGTGTGCTCTCCCTATTTCATTATGCAGACGCAAGATGAGATTTCCTTAAAATAGGAAGAAAGAACATTCATAGCCACCTATGGAATACCTGAATCAGTGTCACAAATGCTTAGGCAAGCCAAATAATTTTTGAGGTTGTGGTTCTTATGGCAGTTTGATGAAAATTTACAGTTTACCTGAGAGTATTAAGTGTACAATTCCAGGATCTTATTGGGAAGCTGTATTCTTACTACATTTGCCGTTTTATACGATAAACCAGTACTATTAGGTATGAGCATGAGTCAGTATGATATAAAAATTTGTATTCAACTTTAAGCAGAGTGCAGTATTAATTATGGACTGGCTGTGAATCACAGCCTAGGCATTAAAATCACAGAAAAAATCAAGATTGCAGAAGAGGGCAAGAGAATCCTTTTGTTACCAGTCAGTATTTTGCCAGATATCTTGGATTTGTGATTAAAATTTGCCACTTTACCTGGTCTCTGAGAGAGAGGAGAAAAGGGGACTCATACTACTCCCCCCACTTTTTTTCTTGCATAAATTCAGAGAATTTTCTGATGCTCTTTCGTTGCAGGCACGCTCCTACAACAAGCAGATGCGACCTGCAATTTTAGATCACTGTTCTGGAAACAAGTGGACAAACACATCTCATCACCCTGAATTTTTGGTAGGAGAAGAGGTAGGAAACTTCTTTACAGTGAAATGGAAGGAGAAAACCTGATCCTAGTCAAAAATTCATTTATTTTGCCATCCAATTATTGTTTCCTAGCATTCCATAATCCTACTTTGAGGACCAGATATTCATATTGTCTCCTGAAATGTTAGATTCTACACTCTCAGCATTTAGAACATTCAGCAAATGTTAATGATAATTTCTGGCCTTAGATTTTTGAATGTGAACCCAGAAAACCGTGAGAGAAGAGTTTTAACAATGTATTCATCTCCCTGTCTTTTCTAGGCCTTGTATGTTAATCCATTGGATTGTTATAATATCCACTGGCCTATTAGAAGAGGTCAGTTAAATATTCACCCAGGACCTGGGGGCTCCCTTACGGCTGTTCTGGCAGATATCGAAGTAATATGGTCTCATGCAATACAAAAATACTTGGAAATCCCACTGAAAGATTTAAAGGTGAGCTGAAATTCCCAGTACTTGGATTGTCTTTAAGATTTTTGGTCAATAAAAGTACACATTATGGAGTTGTCTGTAATACTGTGTCCTTGAAGCATTCTCAGCCTTGAGGCGTTGAGGGTATCTTTTCTTCTTCACTGAGTTTCCCTCTGTTGCTTTCTCTTTTTCTTATTGTGTTTGTTTCTTGGGTGTCTCTCTACTACTCTGCAGTCAGCAAGCTTCCTCATGTTTATAAGCCCTCTCTGGACCTTTTTCAGATACATCACTTGTCTTATTTTTTATTTCAGAAGTTTTAAATAATTCAAAGGAAAAAACAGCCCAAACTTTAACGTTTTCTTTTTTTTTCATAAAACCCAAGAAATAACAGAGAGGTTTGAGTTTTTATTCTGGGCCTCTAACCATTGCTGCTCCTCCTCTAGATAGAATCCTCTCTGAAGACAGGTGTGGTGACATTTATTTTGACTGGACTTTAGTGTTAACTATTTTATCTTTTTTCTTTGTTCTTCTTTTTAGTATTATAGATGTATCTTGTTAATTCCTGATATCTATAATAAACAGCATGTGAAAGAATTAGTGAATATGATCCTAATGAAGATGGGTTTTTCAGGTATGTCTGATATTCCATTGAAACCTACTTGAAATGAGGTTCTTTTCTTTATTACTGACAAAGTTAATCTAATTCACTACCTTGCTGAAATGCTTATTTGAGAGGATCCGTGATGCTTGGACACTTGCCCAGAGACTCCTAGACTTTTGCTGATTATTTGTCTTAGGATCTTCACTGCTCCCCAGCTGAGCACTCCTCTGCCTTTTGTTTTTTCAGGGATTGTGGTCCATCAGGAGTCTGTGTGCGCCACCTTTGGAAGTGGTTTAAGCAGCACGTGTATTGTAGATGTTGGAGACCAGAAGACAAGCGTGTGCTGTGTGGAGGATGGGGTCTCCCATCGGAACACTCGGTAAGGGACTCAGGAGGTGGCATTCCTCGTCCTTCTCCCCTCACAGTCTGTTCAACTATAAAGCATCACAAATTAGAAAGAAATTTTTATAAGGAATTATATATTCAAATTTTGCATAGGAAACCAGCATTATTCTGGACATGTGAATTCTATAAGGCTACAAACGACTGATTTTACCCTTCCCATTGGAACTCTCATATGGGTTCAGTCAGGAGCTCCTGAATGTCCCAGAGTGGTTGTGTGCTTTCCTGCAGAGATCAGCTCTATGTCTTTTGTGTGGTCTGACATAGAGATATCAATTACACTCACAGCAAAGCTTTATTTAGGCAAGTTGTATAACAGAAAATAGGTGTTCAGGTCTGAATTCTTTGGCTAGCTAGCATTTTGAGTATTTGCGTTTGTTGTCATAATTGTGTTCAGTGAGCGATGAATAACTTTGTGGTGGTCAGATTCCTTCATGATGGCATCACTGAAACAAAAGTCAATAAAATAACTGTCAGGGCAGGTTTGCTGCTTGTCCTTCCTGAGATAAGCACAACACTGGTAAGCAGGCCAGGCAGTGCACATGTGGGCTCCTGCAGCATGCAGTGTTCCCAGGATGGCTGCTTTAGGATGCTTTAGTTCTTCCTGTCCCTCACATAAGTAGTTTGAGTGTCAGAGTATAGAAACAAATGGAAAAGGGGGCCCAGGCAATGCATGAGAAAGGTTCATCTGTTCCCTCTCACCCCAAGCTACCATGCATTCAAAAACTCGAAATAAGTTATTTTGGCTCATCTCTTGTTTATATTATGTAATGCCAGTCGCTCAAAGTATGAAGAAAACACTAGACCCAGGTCTTCTACCACTAAAGTAACTCAGCAGTGGTCTTTCCAAACTGTAGAAACATTCAGTTTGGCTAGCGTTCTCTAATCTCCCATCAGTTTGTCTTAGGGTGTCAGTGCCTGCCACCTTGACATGCCGGTGAGTGTAGACAGGCAAACAGCTGTCATATAGTGAACATGTTGACTTGGAAATGAGCTGGATTTAATAATGTGTGTTCTGTTTCTTGGAGACGTTTTACAAACTGCATGACTGCTTCTGGGTGCCCCACCACTGGTTTTTTCCAGAGTTGCCTTTCTCCCATCCATCCATTCTGTCCTTTCCTTCTTTAATTTATTCCTGCAACAAACATTTCTTGAAAATTGCTATGTTTTACCATGCCTAATGGAGTTCTTGAATCACCCTTTGCACTTTCTCTGCCCTTTTCTCTTAACTCTAGGCTCTGTCTGGCATATGGGGGATCTGATGTGTCAAGATGTTTTTACTGGCTGATGCAGCGAGCTGGGTTCCCATACAGAGAATGCCAGTTAACAAATAAAATGGATTGCCTTCTTCTGCAGCACCTTAAAGAAACTTTTTGTCATTTAGATCAGGTGAGAGCAAAATCAAAATTGCTGATTATTTTTGTTTTCAGGAAAATTTTAAGATATTTAAAAGGCAGTTAAAAATTTAACAGTATCATGCTACTCTGTCAACTCTAGGTGATAAAGCCTTGAGGCTGAAGCTCTTAAGGAGTGAGTTTCTTGGTGAGGTCAGAGCCATGAGGATGTGTCTCAGGCTCTGAAAAACACAGCTTGTTTTTCTAAGGAAGAGAGGTTAGCAAATTTCTTTCTTTGTAGGATCTCTGATCATTCTGATAAAGGATGAAGATAAACCTTTAGGTGTAATGAGTAGTAGCTGGTAAATATTTAGGTACAGACATGGCACCATTTGAAGCAGTTTCTTATTATTGTGAACAGTCAGTGTTTAGTCATTGCTGTATGTGGATTGCTACGTTTTTATTTTTTTTGTTTTAGACTTTTTTTTTTTTACCTTTTACAAGCAATATTCTGAATAAGAAAATTTTGAGAAACATAAGACTAGGTAACATTCCCCAGTTATTGAGAGAATTGGCTTATTGATTTCGGTCATTTTTATATTAGTGTATATTGATAATGAAGCAAACAAAAAAAATGCAGATGCTGGAAATTTCAGAAACGTTAAAAGGGAGGCAAGGTACAATTGAACTCTGTTTTATTAAGTTCCAGTGAGAGTGGTAGAAAGTTGTAGGGCAGTCTTTTTATAGGTGAGATTTAGATGGTAGAGAGGCATAATTGTAATTTTAGGAGTTTACATGCACTTTTACTGATCCACTGACAGCATCTTTTCCTGGAATCAGGATATATCTGGGCTTCAGGACCATGAGTTTCAGATTCGACATCCAGATTCCCCTGCCCTACTTTACCAGTTTCGATTAGGAGATGAAAAACTCCAGGTAATGTATGCGTGTATGTTTCCATGGGTAGAAAGAAAGTCAGCCATGTTCAGTCAGACTGAGAGAATGTGCACTTGCTGGAAACCTCGTGAGGTCAGAATGTCAACTGGTTGTGGATTATCTGCTAAACCAACATTTAAGCAACGGATGGAGTACGGATTACAATAGATCTGAGGGCTTTTGAATTAACCACTATGTGACTGGTTGTTAATGAGAGAGAGGGGCACCATTGTTATTAGGAAATTATAAAGTAGATTGCTAGGTACTGTACATTTGCTTTGAGATTTCTCTCTGAGGTATCATATCACCCATTCAGTTGGACGATACGTGAGTTTTCTGGCCTATCGTGCACTAAGGAAGTAATGCTACTCCCAAAAAAGAATGCTACCCAGTCTAACTTCTAGGATCTGATCTGCTTGTTTTGTTTTTGGAAGAACGAAATTTAATGGGTTCGTTTTTTCAAGAGGAGTATCCTCAGTTGATTGGTCAATGTCTTTCTTTCCATGCACAGGCTCCAATGGCTTTGTTTTACCCAGCAACTTTTGGGATTGTTGGACAAAAAATGACAGCTTTGCAGCACAGGTCCCAGGGCGACCCTGAGGACCCTCACGATGAACATTACCTGTTGGCTACACAGAGCAAGCAGGAACAGGTCTGCAGTAATTCTGCTGTGAAAGGAGACAGCTTTGTCCCTGAAGGAGAATTTTGCTCATGTTTAATGGATTATGGCAGCCACTGCACTCTTACAGCATACTAAAGCTGATACTATTTTAGAACTGTAGATGAAGTGAAGCCTAAATTTAAATTTGGATGACAGATTTCTTCATTCGGCAGACGTTAATCTAGTTTTCAGAATACCAGTCCACACATTTACAAGTTAATAACGAATTTGGTGTATATTATTTACTTACATTGTCTACTTTTGAATATTTATCCAATAGTAAGTATTTCCAGGAAAATCTCACCCATTTTTTAATTTTAATGTGAAAGGTGTGTGGCATAGGCAAAGACCTGAATTCCTTTGTCCAAAGCTGATCGCAGTAATAGAATGTCTGATGCAGGGACGCAAATTAAAGCTATCATCTGCCAACAAAACAGCAGCTCATGATGGAGAGAAGAGCGCTGTAAACCTTTTCTAGTCTTTGTTCCTGTCCCAAAGGTGAGCCTGAGGTGGTTAGACAAGGTCTGAAAATGAGGATTCCATAACAGCTGCTGGTCCAAGAATTCCACTGAAATACTCCACTTAAAAACATAGTTCAAGGGGGGGAAAAAGCCCATCTACACTGACGTTTCAATTTTAAAACTCAACCAGTAATTGTAAGGTTCTGAGACCTGCCCTGCCTGCCAGTGACTGCTTTGGAATTGTCAGCACATCCTCATCTCTGTACACCACCTCTCACTCTAGGTTATGTGGGAGTGGGTACCAGGTGGTTGGTTGTACACTATGGTGTATTTCCTCTCTGCACCATGGTGACAAGCCCTCATTTTGTAGTAGTGTATAGTAGGGAGGGAGGGATTGGGGGATCTAGCTGGAGAACATGAGCAGCGTTCTGTCATGGTCATACCATCTACTTGGTTGTTCTTTTCATTGATTTAAAGTCTGCAAAAGCTACTGCTGACCGGAAGTCTGCATCCAAACCCATTGGATTTGAAGGGGATCTTCGTGGCCAGTCCTCTGATCTTCCAGAAAGACTCCATTCCCAGGAGGTGGATTTGGGATCCTCTCAGGGAGACTGTCTGATGGCTGGCAATGATTCTGAGGAGGCCCTCACTGCACTGATGTCCAGGAAGACTGCCATTTCGCTGTTTGAAGGGAAAGCCCTGGGTCTGGATAAAGCCATCCTTCATAGTATAGACTGCTGTTGTAAGCACATTTGGGGAGGTGGGGAGATAGCAGTTAAGTGAACTGTTCACGGGGTGGTTGTGTAGTGTGGCATATTTATTCAAAAACTATCGAGTGCATAGTTTGTGCTTGCATTGTCAGGTGTTGGGAATTGGTTCCTGGCATCGTTGAGCATATAGCCTAGTGGAGGAGACTGAAATAAGTCAATTTATCACATAAATGTGAAATTACAACTGTGGCAGGTACTACAAAATTGAACTGAAGGGTACTGACTGAGAGTTTCGGTTGGAGGGATTTAACAAGGGATTCTGCTCAGTATGGGTGGTGTGGAGGGCGGCAGGCAGGGAAGGCTTCCTTGAGGAAGAGCCGCTTGAGAGAGATCTACAGGGTGAGTGGGGTTAGGCAGTCTCAGATCGGGTGGCATTCTAGGCAGAAGAAGCCTGGATGAAGGCCAGTTTGGCTGGGAAACAGGGTGCGAGGGTCAGACTAGAGAAGTGGTAAGTACACACCATGTGGGACTTTGTTGGTCCCGTTAGAGATTTTGGTCCTGATCCTGCGAGTAGCAGAGTGAGGGTGCGGCCAGCAACATGCTCACACTGGTGTTGGCAAGACTCCTCTGGCTGCATTGTTGAGGGTGCGTTGGAGAGAGACCCTTAAGGCTCTTACAGTTGTCCAGGCAAGAGATGTTGGTGGCTTAGGGAGGTGATGGATATGGAGAAAAAGTGCGGAAGGAATATCGCTATCTTTTCAGCATCTGATGATACCAAAAAGAAGATGTACAGCTCCATCCTGGTGGTGGGAGGTGGTTTGATGTTTCATAAAGCTCAAGAATTTCTGCAGCACAGAATTCTCAACAAAATGCCACCTTCATTCAGGCGAATTATTGAAAATGTAGACGTGATCACAAGGCCCAAGGTATGCTGTTTGTGGTGCAAGTTGGACTGTATACAAATGAAACCAGCATTGATTATTCCTAATTGTAATGTTTGTGGACGGATAGAATCCTGGGAGGCATGGGCTTGTGTCTGGGAGTTCTTGAGGGCTTGGAGCAAGTGGGAAAAATTACTTCCAGCAGGGTACAGCGGTGGTGGGAGGAGCTCTGCTCCAGGGGACTGGATTCCTGCATGACTTTGTGAAAGGACTAGTGGGGGCAAGACTGCTCTCTCTCCTCAGCCAGAACAACTCCACTTTGCTCTCTCTCTCATGTTAAGGATCTGCTGCTGGTTCCTGGGCCAGGTGGATCTTTAAGGATCTTTTTGGCTTGAACTATCTTGAAAAGAAACATAAACCTACGAATTTATAAACAGATTGTGTCTATATTTCATTGTATCTCACAGACAGTTCCTGTAAATGTTCGTATTTAATTTTAATCCTGAAGGAGGGGTTGTGAGATGTATTTGTTCCGCTCAAACTTCAAATTAAGTTATCTCCTTACGTATGTTCCTGCCTACAGGGCCTGACTGTTTGTGGAATAATAGTGACTAGTAGCACCTTCAGTAATAAAAACTAAAAAGTTTTCTTGTCAGTTGAAACAGAAAAATGTCTGTAGTTCATGGGTCCCGCATGGGTCTTTAATGCAGGTTGAAAATCTGGCTTATTAGGTATTGACTCAGCAGGGTTTTTCTCACCCCCAAATTCTAGTAAATGATTAAGTATACGTCTTGTCTGCTTATGCTGGAATATCTTTATCCCTTCCAGGACATGGATCCCCGGCTGATTGCGTGGAAAGGAGGGGCAGTGTTGGCTTGTTTGGATACGACACAGGAACTGTGGATTTATCAGCGAGAGTGGCAGCGCTTTGGTGTCCGCATGTTACGAGAGCGTGCCGCTTTCGTGTGGTGAAACGGGAAGGAAAAAGTCACCGTCGAAGACCACAAGCAAGCCTTTTGGTATAAAAGACTCTTACAGAATATACACTTTTTAACTTATTGGCCTAGATGCTTAAGTTTCATGGAAAATAAATAAATTTTAACTTTTATGATGAGGACATTGGTGTGAAATTATGAGCTGGTTTTGTAGTCAGGACATTTGAGAATAAACATGAATTTACTCTTCAGTGGTAAACTCCTGCCCCTTTCTCAGGGTCGCACAGATTCCCCAGTGAGGTAAAATGCTGCTGCTGAGTGGTTCTTAGGTGTTGAAGCTCTTCATTGAAGTTGACTTCTAAGTGTGTGATGCACCCACAAGGGGTGGGTGTGTGACTTATGTGCCTGAATTGTGAGAAGAACTGTATGGTCATGAATTTTCCCTCTTGTCTAGTATAGCAGCACGTATGACATGACTCATGTCCTCTTGGAATTCCAAATAGGAAAAAACTTTTTTTTCCATTTTGTGTTGGATTACAAAAAAAGATTGGGGCCCATTCAGGTCTAGATTTCCAGAGGCAAAGACTTCAGGCTGGGCTGGCTGGATTTTGTTACCTGATATGCTCTAGGGTGGGCTTGGGGAAAGAAAACAGTCATTTGACCAAAACAGAACAAAAGGTAAAAAGGAAAACTCGTTTCCTTCCTAAGAAACGATTTAGGTATAATTTAGATTTAACTTGTCTTGTGCAGATAAACAAGATGACTGCTGTAATTGCTACTAACTTAATCATCAAGCCCCCAGTTTTCCTTTCCCTGAAGAGCCATTGGCAGTGTGTGGAGTTCTTTGTGTTCAGTATGATGGTTGACCTTAATCTGAGCAGTCTGAAGGGAAATTTCAGTAATGGAGACGGCTGTTACTACCAGTGGTCCAGGCCTTGGGGGAGCCTTCTGAGATCTTGACCAGAGGAAGCAAAGGCATTGTCAGGAGACAGGAGCCAGTCACTGAGCACAGCCTGTGGCTCAGAGACCTGAGAGGATAGAGAGAATGCTGATTCTGATACTGCCACTCCCTGTAGGCACCTGCTTCCACCATCCCACTTACCAAGAGAGAAGGCAGGCCAGGGGAAAAACAAAAGTAGAGACAGATAAGAGATGAAGGTTAAGAGTGGACTATAGAAAAGAGTAAGGGGGCCGGCCTGGTGGTGCAGCAGTTAAGTGCACGTGTTCCAGTTCAGCAGCCCAGGGTTCGCCAGTTCAGATCCCGGGTGTGGACATGGCACCACTTGGCAAGCCATGCTGTGGTAGGCGTCCCACATATAAAGTAGAGGAAGATGGGCACAGATGTTAGCTCAGGGCCGGTCTTCCTCAGCAAAAAAAAAAATAAAAAGGATGTTTAGAAGTCTTAGGACATGGAAAAATGCTGGTATTGGAGCATTTTGCATAAATAGGAGTAGCCTACATATCTGCTCAGGTTAGGATCAAAGAACAGTCCACCAGAATAACAAAATTTTAACTTGCTAGTACTGTTTGGAATGTGTGCCTTCAATCTGAAAATTGTACTTTGATTTTTTAAATTTATGCAATATTGATTTTGTTTATGTTTCTAGGCTGTTTCAACACAATTTAGTACTGGCTACCTAGTTCCAAAAGCATAATGTATTTCTGTTTATAGTAGTTTTTCACATAATAGCATACATGAAATTGGTAGATGGTGTTTCAGAGAAAGTTAGTTTCTGGTCCAAGTTTTGATATAAGCCATGTCCATCTTCTATTACCAGCTCTTATAAGCACTGTGAAAAGTGATCATGACAAATAAGTGAGCTTTACCACATTAAACATATTGCCTCAGCCATTATTAAGTATCTGCTTGTGAAGCTGAACACAGTGAGTTTTCACTCTATGCCTCATTTTGGTTTTATTTCATCCATAAGATGTATTCGAAGGAGTGGTATGGCCCTTTAGAGATAATCTACAAATACATTTTAACAGTCATCCACCTGAAACTGATCCACGTTCTAGAGCAGATTCAGTATTGCACTATGTGAAAGAGACAGGCATTCCTAGAAAAATACATCTGTTAATATAATAACCTTTTGGTGACCTCAGCAGTAAGGAGAAGATGCTTTTAGGAAAATAAAAAATTGGAAGGCTTAAAATACCACGTATCTCTGTGTTCTATAACTTTGGTAGTTTCTGTTTTTACTTAAGTAAACCATTATAATAACTCATTTACAAAAAGATTACTTCAAGAGGGCTAACTTCCAACATAACAGGAATTATTTTTGTTTTGAACATGAAAAGTTATATAATAACCAAGAAACTCTGAACTGTGATAGTGACCTCTAATAGGTAACTTTGGGCACAAGTAGACATCAGGTCTGCAAGTAAGGTATTTTGGTGTTCATGTTAAAGTTGCCTGTACAAGGGTCAGATAGGACACGGCTCTGGTTCAGAAGGGAACGTCCTATGCAGATACCAGATAATCCAAGTGGTTACACGTATACTAGGTCATCTGGTTGACAAAGATGAGTTCAGCTTATTTCCTGTGTTCCTTATCTTAAAAATAAAGACGTGTGTATAATAGATGGTTTTTCACCTAAGAAGTTACTGAGTGAATTAGCGACAGCTTGTTAAATCTGGTATTCATTAATTCAGCTTAGAAATGTTACAGAGCTAAATAATTCTACCTACAGTGCTGCAGTGCATGGATTATTCAAGACTGGTTGTTGGGCTGGAAGGTGCTTTATCATTGCATTATCAGAATGGTTATAGTTTACATTATAACTATTCTTGATTTTTAGGCATGAAATTGATTTAGCTTTATAATTATAAATGTAGTCTCCATTCTTTATTTAATGCTGCAAGTAGTTAGTAATATTTGTAACAATTTTATTGGCATAAAAATTTTAAATTACTACACTAAGGCATATGTATTCAGTTATGAATCCTCCTTATTCCTATTGCTAAAGCAGGTGTGTGTATTATATACACACAGATGTATATATGTAAAATCTTCCCTCCAAGTAGCCCATGTAATAAACTTGAGAATCATCACAGGTGCTTTTTTTCCCTGTAATTGGAGGGGTAGGAAGGCTTCAAGGTCTCTTGCTTCTCATGGGTGGGCTACAAGGCAGAGCATCTGTTGTGGCAGGCTCGCCACCTTTTTCCCACTGACACATGCTGCTCAACATGGAGCAGTTCTGTGCAGAAAGCAGCAGCGTCTTTCATGAGGCAGTACTTGGGGCAGACATGGAGCGCGTCGTAATCATCTTTGGTATCAGCCTCTCTAAAATAGACCACCATGTATTTGTGCAGGTGATTCTGGCTTCTCAGATCACTGCAGAAGAGGTTAAAGGCAAGGGGGAACAGGTCTTGGGAGTTCTCATGGGGGCTACCCTCGCTCTTGCCACAGGTACCATCACACACGTTGTTGACGTTATTAGAAAGAAGGAAGATGACTTTATCCGCTGCTTTCTTTTGAGTGGTAAGCCACTGCACTGGACCCATCTCAGCTATTTTCTTTTTCTGCCACTTTTCAAGGATAACCTCAGTTCTGCAATGGTTTTGAAGAAATTTAGTGAAGTAACAGACTGTGTGATGGAAACATATCTCAGATGGGTAAACCACAAGAACCTTAATGGGGGACAGTAGCGCGGTAGTAGGGAAGGAAGTCTTCTTGATCCTTTCTGTGGGAGCAGAAAAGCATTTGTTATCTATGAACAGCAAATGGCAGCCTTTCTCTAGTCTAAACCATTGCTGATAAATGATGTCTTGCTAGGGAATGTCAGCTGAGCACCCAGGGCATTGTCACTGCCAGAGAGGAAAATACCCTGATGTTCCTTTTGAACACGTCACCTGAAACACAGGGATGCTTAAACCTTAAAGGTGCTTTAAAAGATGTATTTTCTAAATTCCTATCACTAATTCAGTCCTCTTAAGCCATGTCTTTTCAGATAAATTCATAGAAACCGTTTAGGTTTAGGGTACTTTGTTTTAGGTAGGTTGTTGTACCTTTAGTGTTTTTAGTGCCATATATAAACAGGGACAGCTGATCTCTGCCCTTCACATCATATTTTAGGTTGGGTCAACTCAGTAGTTGTTCCATCTTCTACCTGTAGGGGGCAGAGTTTCTTTATAGTTCTGTCAATTAAGTGGTACCCCATTTCAGCTGGAACTTAACTGGAATTCTGTCCTATGTGTGCTATAGAACAGGAACTGTGTATAACAAGTACTGTAACTAATACAGCCCAAACAACATCATCTAAATATAAGTATTCCCAAGGCCAGAGTTCCACATGGCTTTCTTAGCTTAGATCATAAATTAATCTTGTTCTACCTACAACATCACAAATGGCTCAAAGGCTGCATTTATAGTTCCTTTTCTCCATGTGGAGAAGAGGAGAAGCAGAGGTTTTCAGTGGGCTTCCCTCCAGCTGTGTATCTATATAAATCCTCTGATTTCTATATTCAAGTCCTCAATTTCTGTGTTGAGATCCTCAGTGTTTTAGACTTGCCAAGGTCCTTAGAGTATATGAATTCAAGTGAGCGTTGTTCTTATGCCTTGGAAGAATTATTTTTAAAAAGTAGGAACTAGCATAGAATACCTATCACAGGTAAAATGCAGTTCGTTATTGGCTGTCTTTTGCCCATTTCAGTACTTGTAGATGCCTTAATGGTAAAAATAAAACTGGTGATAGTCACCAGATCTAGAGGTCCAGATCCTTGCTTATCTTGGCAGATGTGAGTCATTACATCACTCTTTTTAGTAGAGTTCTACGGCATTAAATAAATGCTGCTGACTCCTGTCTAATGCCAAAATGTGACTGCCTCTAGAAGAATCTCCTTTAAAAAAAACCAAAATGTTATCTCCTTATTTAGGTTTCTTTAAAGAATGGAATGATAACCCTTACCATGCCTCCACGTGAGATAGATCCCGACCGCCAGCACCCACGTGGCCACCAGCAGAGCTGGGAGGAGGAACGGCAGCCAGCCACCCAGCACGCTTCTGCCTGGGGAAGACAAAGCTTACTCACCTTCAGCAAAGAAAACCAAATTTGTCTCCTGTTTGGAAACTCAGATGTTTACTCTATGCTTCATAGAAGTTTTGATCCCTTTAACACCAAGGGTCAGTATATTTCTAGGGGGCTGTGTTCTGTGTGTGGATTGCTGTGTTCTGTAGAGTGTCCAGGTCTTTCATAAGATCTTCAAAATGGATTTGGGAGCCAGCAGGTTAAAAACAGTCCTCTAAAATCACTTGGGCTTCTTACTTCACACATACACAGGCATTTTCACCTTTTTCTTTTTTGTTCTTTGGCAAATTCATGTTATTCTGGGTGCAATTGCTTAATACATAGTACACATAGATGCCATTTTTAAAGGCTGTTTTGTTAGATTGACAAATGTGGGGGTAATGTTGCCCCCCCCCCACAGGAATGTCAATCAGGGAAGCTCAGGCACACCAAGTGCTCAGGAATCCATAGGCACTGTGGCCCACACCCAAGTCAGGATTGTTAGGCACCCACGTTGTCTTCAGTTGGTTTGGCTGAGTTTCTAAGAATGACACCTTCCAACTTTTGACCCCACCCCTGGGCTAGTTCCGAAAACGTTTAGTTTGTCCACCTATAATGAAAGAACTAACATCTTTAAATCCAGAGAGACATTTTCCAGAACATGCTGCTCTCCAGCACCATTAAGGTGTGTCTTTTGGTGCCAGTGTTCCTAATTTGTTATCCAAATGTTAGTGGCTTGACCACATCAAGTTACAGTCACATCTAGGCCTGGGCTACTGAGACTGATAAGAAAATCAAAATGCAGTGAAATGCACGTTTCCTTATATACTCAGTTCTTTTATGCCGTTGACTTTTTTCACCAGATCCTGGTGGCACTGAACATCCATTTTGTTTATTTTTTCCCCCTTGTGTAAATCCTGCTTGATAAAAGATCTTGAGTGATTTTATAAATAAAGCCTTCATTCTTACTCAGATTTCAGGCTCTCTGGGACAGCACTGACGTCTTTCTCTTGCACCCCGTTTCAGCGTGCACAGGGAGGGACGCTCTCCCTCATGCTCCCCCCGCACATACACACCCCGTCCTGAGCCTCTGATCTTCCTGGGGGAGTGAGCGGGCACTTACTGTTGTCTGGAGGGGAGGAGGCCCCTGTGTGTGGGCAAAGCACCACGATTCCTCTGCGTCGGATGCAGTCACTGCCACAGGTATGGAAATACGGAGTCAGCTAAGGAAAAAGGGGAGTCCCAGAAAGTTCAAAATCTCAGCATTATTCCTACTCTCACCAAAACTTCTCTTCCCTTCTTTTCTCGTTTCACATCCCCTCACCCCCCCAGCATTGTAAGAGGATCTTTTTTTCCTTGGTCACACCACTGGAACAGAGCCCTAAAATCCAAACCCGTGACCCAAGACCAAAACACCTTCTGAGACTCCTGGGTTGTGAACCTAAACTTTGTACATGTTGCTAGCATGTTAATTTCCTTATCTAAAAGGGTTAGGTCACATCCTAATACATATACAAATATTTCCTCTGAAAAAAACAGCAGTAGAGCTCCTATTAATGGGTAAGTGCCCTGGGACTAGGAAAGTCTGGTTCCCCAGAAAAGGGGTGCACTCGTAATATGCTGACAGGTATTGATCCCTCTGGCATGTCTGAGCACTGCCATTATGTTCTAGGGAATGACAATAAAAGCTCCTTAAATCTCTGGGTGTGGCTGTGTCCCACTGGGACCCTCCCTGGCCCCACATCATAAACTCAGAGTTGAAAGGGACCTGAGAGCATGTGTTAGTCCAACTTCCTGAGGCCCTGAGAGGACCGGCAGCTGCCACTTAAAGTTCATATACTGATCGGGAACCCAAACCTTCTGATTTCAAATCCTCTGTTACTTCCTTTTGCAATTAAAACTGAAAATAAAATGATACTCCTGTCCTAGAGTTACTGTAAGGGTCTGTGGCAAAAAATGGAAATAAAAGCACTTTGGAAAGTCAACAGCAACTAATAAAAGCAATGGAGACCATGACTGTCGGTCAGCTTCCTGATGTCACCACTGTCAAGACAGACCAGGATTCCCCGCTAACATCGCTTCACACAAGACTACTGGCAGGAGCAAACTGGGGGAGCACTCGGCCACTCCAACTTTGAAAGGACTCATCAGAAGCTGTCGGTGGTGGAGCAGTTGGTCCTCGAGGGCCCCACCCCTCCCCAAAGCACCTCATTAAACCTTACCTGGACCACAGCACCTTCACTTTCCCCAGTCACTGGAATCACCACGGAAGTGCGAGTCAGTTTGTTCTGGTGCAGATGAGTGAGACACAACCAAGAACTGTGAGCCATGTGCCTGCGTAGATCAAAGCCTGCCAGTGAAGAACCTGCCCGTCCCAAACTGACTGTCAGTTCTTCGGACTGAATGTGCGTGAATAAGGATTCCTGTCCTACTTCTGAAACCTCTACCTTTGGTTGGTTTTAGATTCACAGGGACATTTCCAGGGATGCCCCCAGGGACTTCATTTTCTTTGTTGAATTAATCAAAACAGCCCAGCACATTTGGACGATAGTTCAAAAGAGCCTGTCAAGGGAATCCTAGAGTGTCTACATTCTTCTTCAACAAGACAAGGAAAGCAGGAGGATGAGGATGGGAGTGGCGTTAAGGAAATGAAGGGAAAAAAGTACCTCCAACACATTAGAAAGCCCAATTACGGTGTTATTTTGGATAAGAGCCATGTATCTGTTTCCAAGGGGACTAGTTGTAAAATTCACTTCCACCATCTTCTCGTTTTTCTTACAAGCAGTGATGTTTGGATCCCACAGACTTCCTGTAAACAAGAGAGAATCACATGGATGAAGTTGCAAACTCTTCCCTCATCCAAGTTCCCAAAAGGGCTTGACAGAAAGAAACTTAAGTGCTCAGGCCCACATCCAAGAGATACAGACTACTACACAGTGTACTTTTTTTTTTTTTGCTGAGCAAGATTTGCCCTACGCTGACTTCCATTGCCAATCTGCCGCTTTTATTGCTTGAGGAAGGTTATCCCTGAGCTAATATCTGTGCCAATCTTCCTCCATTTTATATGTGGGTTGCTGCCACAGCATGGCTGAAGAGTGGTGTAGGTCCACATCTGGGGTCCGAACCCACAAACCCAGGTTGCTGAAGTGGAGCACATGAACTTAACCATTATGCCATGGGGCTGGGCCCTACCCAGTATGCTTTTATTCATCATTGCTCCCAGAATCTCAAAGTACCTGCTGCCCAAGAAAGTTGAGGGGCCCCACGTCACTGCTTTGCTAAAGAGCTTCCCTGGGCTGAGGGTCGGGGAGGTGCAGATTGAGTTCTATTTCTCACGCTATTCTCAGCATCCATTTTGAGTTCAAAGCTGGGGTCAGTATTTTCTCCTTTCTAGGATGGGGAGAAGGAGCCACAGGTCTGAGATTACAGAGCAGGTGAATTCAGGTTCAGGACTACAACTCCAAGAACTTCTTGGTTCCAGGAGCTTCATCCATCAGACCATTCTGCCAGCTTTACTGGATGGGAAGAAATAAGGAACTGTCTCATAGCTTAGAGGATACCCTGACAGGTCTACTCTCCGAGAAGTCAGTTGTTTCATTCATATGACTTGCAAATCAGCTTTAGGTGATTTTCCGGGAACATGATGTATAATGGCATGCACCATTTTCTCCACCTGGGAGACCATTTCAGGCCCCAGCCCAGAATTGTCTTTAGGAGTTCAGGTCCAGGGCTGATTGAAGGCTCTCAGAGCTCCTCACACCTGCAGCATCCCCTACACTCCCTCTCCCTCTCCGTAGGAGGCAAGAGAGGAAGCACAGTACCCCAAGTCTGCCTTCCAACAAGGAGACCACCTGCAGCTCAGTCTGACAGGAGACACAGGGATGACTTGTGGGGTGGGGGCGCCTAAAAGATTTGGACCACTTCCCCCAAACACTACGAGCTTCATTAGCATCCTAAGACTACAGTACCAGGAATTTACACAAATCTTTGTAAAATCCTTGGAAATTAGACACTTGGGACTGATTATCCTGAAGGGGCTTATTTCAAAACATAAAGGGTAGGGGCAGGTTCTAAAAGCCTAGCTTGTGAGAGGTGAACCCCTGTGAGGACTCGGGTTGAGAGGAAGCTTCTAGGTCATTACTTTAGCCAACACTCCCACCTTGTTTGCTAATCCAAACAAGGCTCTCAGGGTTCCCATGGCCACAGGTCAGGGGTACTGGCATCTGAGCAGGTGGAGGCACTTACAGATTCCTCTCCCATCAGGAAGCACCTTCAATCACGCCACTATAAGTGCAGTGTGGGCTAAAATGTTAGTTTAACCAAGAGGATGGGGTGTTTTCTGTGACTGTTGCTCACTGCATAAACCTACTAAGACTCTGTCCTTCGTGGACAGGCTGCCTGATTCCGTGGGCACAGCGCTGGCCAGGGATCAGCCTTCACTGCCTGAGCAGCTTGGAGACAAAACACCCCTGCTCTGGGCCTCAGCTTCTTCGTGGAGGATGGACTGAGCTGTGCTGGCCCACGTTCGGAGTTTCGTCTAATAACAAAAGCAAATGCTCTATTTACTTACCTGCCTCGATGCACTTTTTTTTGTATTTCATTACATGGTCTAGGCAGCCTGGAAATTCGAATGAAAGATTTTACATTTTCAAAGAAGGTATCTCTGTTCCACCCCCTCGCCATCAAGCATGCATGTACACATGCCTACCACACTTGTGCCGAATTGCCAGAACATTCAAGATGTGAGGTAAGAAGCAAATTTAAATGGGATGCTAACATTTTACTGTTAAACAGGAGATTACGTACCCATGAAATGATAACCAGAGTCTAACTGAAATACAACTTTTGTCCAAACACCATCTATGATGCCCAGGAGAAGACTCAAACCATCCTTTGAAAATGAGGTTTGGTGATATATGTAAATATCGCCCCTTCCAGGAGGTGGAGCTTAATCCACCCCCACCCCAGGGTGAGTAGACTTAGTGACTTGTTTCAAAAACTAGAGTAGGGAAAGGGAAAAACAGGAGATTTACATGGAGACGCCTGGCAGACGCCACTAAGCCAAGTGATGAAGGCAAACACGTCCATGACGTGTGGATGTCACCGTCCCTGACAGGATGCGATGAGAAGGGTACTTCAGCTCTCCAGTGTTCTCTCCCAAAACCCATATCCCGACTCTAACCGTGAGAAAAATGGCAGACAGACCCAGATGGGGCGCACTCTACAGCACGCCTGGCCAGCCCTCCTCAAGACTGCCGAGGGCATGAAGAACAAAGACAGACTAGGAAACTGTCGGGGACCAGAGGAGACTAAAGAGAGGAGACTAAATGCAAGTGGAACAGAAAGAGGACATTAATGAAAAGCCTGGCGAAATCCAAATAAAGTCTGGAGTTTAGTTAATAGAAATGCACCAATGTTGGCTTCTTAGGTTTGACAAATGTACCACGGTAATGTCAGGTGTTAACAATAGGAGAAATAAGAGGCATATGGGAACTCTTTGTACGATAGTACAATTTTTCTGCAAGTCTAAAACTATTCCAATATAAAAACGTTTATATTTTTTAAAATGAGGTTTGGTCTCATCAAGAAAGCTGGAAACTACTGTGTAGTAAATGATGTGGCACCAAGACCGGCCTGGACCACAATTTCAAAGAATAACAATGAATTTAGAAATCACCCCATTTGGCTTCGATGCTTACGCCTGAGACAGAGGACAGGAGTGGACTACAGAACAGGTGACCTAGCCTAGATGGGGTGGCGTGGGAACTGCTGCAGCCAGGCACCGTGCTGCACCCTTCACACACGTGACCCCCTCTTATCCTTGCTGCAGCCCCATGCGTGACATTGCAGTGTGATACTAGGAGCTGATCGCATGTCCTAGAGCAGGGGGAAGAACCTAGCCTTCAATTCAGCGCCACCCTGCCTGTCACCGACAGCTCAGAGGATGAGCCCGCTGGAGTCTAGAGAGACTCAGCAGCACACTGTCAAACAGCACAGCCTACTAGAGCTAAAACTGGAACATATGTTTTGCATCAGTGACATAAAGAAGGCTAAAGTGCATTAATGAAGAAGGACCAGAGTTTGAACGTCAGCTTCACTTTTACTGTGTGTGTAAGGCAGGGCAAGTTACTTAAGCTCTCAATTTCTTCATCTGTAAAACAGGGCTATCTTAACCTCAGGGTGGTTGGAGGCTTAAGTGAGATGATATATGTCAAGTGCTGAGCACAGTGCTGGACACACAGGAATGAGCTTTTTCCTATATTTTACCCAACTTAATCCTCTCCACTCTGTGAGTGAGGTGCAGTTCCCATTGTGTCCGTATGACAGGTGAGGAAGCCGAGACTGAGCGAGGTCACATGCCTTGTCCAGGGTACCCTGGCCTCTCTGTAGCAAACCACATACCCCAAAGCAAGCATCCCAGCGAGGCAGAGAATAACAGAAGAGTGCGGAAGTTTACCTGGTGAGGTGAAATTCACAGACAGGGAGGGGCCGTCTCCATTCATATTTGCATTGGGGATATTATGGGCCCCAATGAAATAGAGTGTGTCCAGCTCCACAGGAAAGCCTATGTAGGAAAACGTCCACTGGAAGGCAAAGCAAGGAACCCCTGAATTTCTGGAACATGGCAATGCAGAAACATAGTTCCTTCGTCTATTGCCCATTTCATTTATAATTTCATTCCTTAACCTACTGCTGAAATGTATGTCTCTAGCCAATTCTTCTAAGAGAGTGGACCCCACACAATTTGCCTGTGTAACTCACAGAATCAGAGAAGTGTGAGATTTTAGAGCTAGGATATAACTTAAATTCAGCTCCCCTCACTTTGCTGATGGGGAAGCTGAAGCCCAGAGATGCTGACTTGCCCAAGGCACACAGCAGAGAAGTGGCCAAAAATGGGATTTGAACCCAGGCACCCTGCTGCAAGCTCCAAGTTGTAGCTGCTCACCAGCCCATGTGTGCAGCACATCATCCCTGCTCCCTAAGCAAAGAGCCTAACTTCAATGACAATCAGCCAAAGGCTATCAAAGTGCTTACTTTGCCGCCAGAGGGTCTGGTCTGAGTCTGGAAGGCCTCTGTGTAGTTGCACCTCACGCAGCTGTAGGACTGGAAGTTGCTTTTGCCTGTCACGCAGATCTTGGTGGCCTTCAAAAAGCGGATGCTGGCTGCCAACATAGGCAAGAGGGCAGTTGTTTATTTAGCACCTACTATGTGGCTGACTTGATGCTAGACAGTTTATGTGCCTCATTTCAGTTCATATTCACAACAGCCCTAAAAGGTAGGTGCCATTATGGTCCCCAGTTTACCGATGGGGTGAGTGAGGTTCCAGGAATTTCAGGGAGCTTTGCCTAAGCTTACGAGCTCATCAGCAGCAGCACGTGGATTCAAATTCCAAAGCGCAAGCTCTTTCTTCCTCACAGGTGAGGCTGAATTGCACAGGATACAAGGCTCTGTACTATTCTGGGGATCTTTTAAGAGGAACAGGCCTGCCTTGGGGAAAACCATGAAGGCCCTCCAGTGTCATCACCAAACCTGCCTGTTCTGGCTGCACCTTTATCCCTGCTGATGCTTCTCCCTGGAATGCCCTTTCCTCCTAGTCTCTATCTCTCTAGGACTTACTCCTTCAAGGCCCAACTCATGCCTATCACAAGAGCTCCCCAAACAAGAGCTCCCCCTGTGCTAGGTGTGGGGCCAAATGCCCCATTGCATCATCTAATTTAAAGTGGTCTCACTCCTCTCCGTCCCCATCCCACTCAGCTGGAGCACTGCCTCTTCCAAGATTCCCCTGACACTGGGCCTGGGCCTGCCTCCCCCCGCCCTCTGAGAACCCTGCTGGGCAAGGACTGTAGCCAACTCACATCTCTGTGCCAGGCACTCCTGAGTTCCTGACTGGATGCAATTTAACTGAATTCAGCAGGTAGAAACCACAGACATGGGCTTTAGGGCCCCAGGATTCGTTCAGTGAAAGAACTCACAAGCTGTCCTGGGGAATTGCCAGGACTTCCATGTTGCCATTTGGGAAATGGAAGAGTAACCTTCCTAAGGCAGCGCTTTTCCTAAACTTGGAGGACTCATCTCTGGCCTTACTCTGTTTTCTCCCATGAAGCAACATAACGTACAGAGAAGTACACATCCTAAGTGTACCACTTGATGTGTTTTCACACTGGTGTAGCCAGTACCCAGGTCAAGAAACACCCCAGGAGTGCCCCTCACACTTCTGACATCAGTCGGTCCCCACCAAAGAGGAACCGCTATCCTGACTCCTAACCCTCAGATGAGTTTTGCCTCTTCTGCACGTTTTGCTAATGGAATCATATGGTACGCAGGGCTGTAGGCAGGCATTCAGATGTGAATGTGAACTCTCTTGACCCTGGCTTCTTATGTTTGGGAGATTCATCCATATTGCGTCTTGTTGTAGCTCGTTCATGCTCACCGCTTTATTTGATTCCATTTTGTGGTTCCAATTCTATTGTTAGGCATTTGAGCGCTTTCCATTTTTTGGCCTTTATGAATAATGCTACTATGAACATTCTAGTATGTGGCTTTGGGTGCACGAATGTATGTATTCTGTTGCGCCATGCCTAGGGCTGGCATTAATGGGTCATATAGTTCGCACATTTCTGCTTTAGTAGACACTTTAGGCCTTATCTTTGATGCAAACTTACCATCTGCCCGGAGTATCCAGCTTATGTTCATCAAAACTGAATAGTCCTCTGTTGCAACCCTGCTTTTAACAGGTTCCACCTGGAGGTCCCTCAAGTCTCCTGGGGTCAGAGCGTGTTGAACCATCCACTCTGGAGACGGTCCTGGAAGAAGGTGAGACTGACCATGTCACTCCCTTCCCTGGCCCAATCTAATGCCATCTGTTCTAAGTGACCCACCCTGATCCATCCTTAATCACAATTCATTTCTTCTTCCTGCTAAGGCAGGCAAGACATTTCTCAGTGTTGGCTGACATAAATCATAGCTGATGCTCAACATCCTGGCCCCAACCTGTAGAGTGCTTGGGACCACGCCGGGTGCCTGTATACATATGTATGTATTTGACATGTTTATTAGGATCTGTCCTGCCTTCCCCATGCCTCAACCTGGACACTAGCCAGCTGGCCCACATGATTCCCTCTTCCCACCTTCTAGTTTTTGCTGGTACCAGCTCTCCTCCAGATCACCTCCATTCACATTTCTCGTGCAGAAGCCCACCATTCTTCAAATGCTATCCTTGCAAACACTACTTCTTCTCTAAGACATCTGCTTCCTGTGCCCAACTATAAATGATCTCCCTCCCACAGCACTTGATCTTCCTCCAAGGAGAGGCAGGCCTTGCTCTCCACCTTGCACAGCAATTCCCACCCTGCTTGTGTCCCCCGTACTGGCCAGGAGGCCCGCCTGTCTGAAATGCCAGGAGCTCTGCCTTGGACAGAGAGAGGTGTCATCTGCAGTGGCTAACAAAGCAGTGGCTCACCCTGTGCGTGGTCACGATGACCCACTGCCTAAATTTAGGCCCCCTAAAGCCCAGCTGTGCTTTCACTGTAGAGCCCCAAATACCCTTTCCCTAGCATACCTACCGGCTTCAGAGCCACACTGAATCGTCTGCAAGAGAGAAAGAAACCAAATGTTATGTTGAATGTCAGCAAGCCACAAGCCTTCATTTGTCAAATTAGAGAAAACTCCATCTTTTTCCTTAAATGCATCTACAAGCAATGAACATTTAAAGAAAAGCTGAGCTGGTTCCACTTCAGTTTGAGGGAGACTAAGCTACCCCATATGCTATGAGGGACCACAGACTAGCCATCAGGATACTTGATCCTCCAGCCTGCTCATCACCTCACTTAAAGAGCAGAGATGGGTCTCCAACTCTCTCTGTGCCTCGGCCTTCCCTGCTACAAGCAGGGGATGACTCTGGACCATCATGCAGGCCCCTTCACACTCTAATGTTTAACTGTAGGTTTTCAGGACAGTCTGTTCATTGATTTTCCCCAGGTTAAGGGCTGGCTATACTAAGATGATGAACAGAAGAAAGCTATGAATGCAGTCCATAGTACCTTCCCCAGATTCTTTAAAATATTCCTCTTCTAATACAAAAGGACTCACCTAAGCTATCTAGAAAATCATAAAGCAACTGTGATCTTATCATGGTTTTTTTGTGGGGTATTTTTGGTGAGGAAGATTGGCCCTGAGCTAATGTCTGTTGCCAGTCTTCCTCTTTTTGCTTGAGGAAGACTGTTGCTGAGCTAACATCTGTGCCAATCTTCCTCTACTTGTATGTGGGACACGGTCTCAGCATGGCTTGATGAGTGGTGTGTAGGTCTGCACCCAGGACTCGAACCCATGAACCCTGGCCCACCAAAGCAGAGCACCTGAACTTAACTACCGTGACACCGGGCTGGCCCCCCATCATGTTATCTTTTTAAAGGAGCTTTAAAAAAATAAACATGTACCATCAGTGTCCAGGAAAGGCCATTACTAAATCCTTTGGAGTTAACTGCTCATGTCTTTTTATAAAAGTAATTAGTACTTTGGTTTTGGAACAAAATACTGGACCTAAAATATTTAATTTATAGGCAGCAGCAAGTTCCAGAGACAAAACCCAATGTGATAAGTCCAGCAGCTGTGGAATCTGATTCTTCTCAGCCTCAACATTTCCAAACACCTTGTAAGACAGAAGGCAACACTTCTGAGGGTTTGAGTAATCTGGGTTTGGATGAAACTGTCAGTCACTCATCCTTGTCTTTTTATAGCTGAACTCCAAGGGATACCATCAGGTGTTTTTTTCAAACAAATAAGCCGCCATACTGGGAGCTGAGTTCTTGTCAAAGGACTAGTGAGACAAGTTTTAGGAACAAGCAAAGCAACTACAGAGTTCAAACTGTTCACCTTATAGCAACAACTGCAAAGGCAGTGAATTCTTTCTCCAGGGGAAAAGGCCAAGGGGGCCCCTGAACGGAGACGGAGGGCAAGGAGAGTAGCTGAAGACCAGGGCACGTGAAAGGGGTTTGTTCATAACCGTGTAACGAGTAACCACGTGCTTTTATGCTGTATGCTGTGCTAAGAGGGCAGAGTTTCAAATGCTATTCTGGGGATGAGTTTTTTCTTCTCTAATGAGCCAGAAGATTCCCTCATCCTTCAAGGCTGGGAAAGAAAGGAAACCTTCCAGAGAGTTCAGGAGCTTGCCAGTTCTGGGGGCATAGCACCCCAGCACAGCGGAATCAACATGGCAAAACCGACAAGTGGTAATGAAGAAGCAGTTCTTGTGCCCCAAATGGTGGGCAGACTTTAAGACCCCAAGCAGTAACAGTACTGAGCACCTACCATGTGCCAGGTGGGCTCTTGGCTGCCGCCCGCAGGCCCTGTTGCTGCTCCTCCCTGGACCCTGGGGAGTTAGGTATTACCCTTCGTTTTACAGATGAGGACACCGAGGCTCAGTGGGCATAAATGACTGAATCAAGAGCGCACGGTGGCATTTGAGCCAGGTCTGTCTGATTCCCACACCCCTGACTCAAGCAGCCTGACGCCCGGTGCCCGCCTGGCGTGGACCAGCCGGGCTGCCCCAGAGGGTACAGATGAGCCCCGTCCAGACGGCCCTCCGTGAACGCCTGTGAGAAGCGTGAGCTGGCGTGTCGGACGCCGTCAGGGTACGGGCTCGAGGGACGGGAACGCAGGAAAGGGGCGCGGACGGGGGCTTACCGGCTCTCGGGGCACGGCACCCCAGCACAGCGCGGCCAGGCTCAGCAGCACTAGCGACATCGCGGGGCCCCGGCCAGCCTCCCGCCGCGCCCTTATCCCCGCGCCGCGGGCCACACCTCCGGGCTCCGCCTCCCACAGCGCTACCCCGGCCTTGCTGCCCTGGCTGAGGGCGGGTCCCCTCGTCACCTCCCCGGGTGGGGAACGTAGAAGCGCCCTCGCCCACAGGGGCTCGGAGGGATGAGCCGGGTCCGAGAGGCTGGGGGCCCTTGGCAGGCAGAGCTGGAGCAGCCGCGGCGCGCGCCGGCCCCCGCGCACACGTGGGTGCAGTGAGCCAGGTGCACGATTGCACTCACGCCTTCGGGTGCGCGCGCCCCGGCTGCCCCCTGCGCCCAGGGGCCTGCCCCGGAGCAGAGTGGGTCCGAGCCGCCCGCGGGTCCCTCCTCGCAGCGGAGAGCGTGCGGTGCGCCGGCGCCGTCCGTTACAGAGAAGCTGGCTAGGGCTGGGCCGCCGGTTGCTCCCCCTGCTTCCGCTCCTGCTCCCGCTCCTGCCCCTGCTCCGCCGCAGCCGACCGTCCCGGCGCTCGGCCCCAGCCGCCGACGGTGAGTAGCGGGGGACTCCGAGACTGGGGTTCCCCGGAAACAAGGGGTGGGGCCCGCGGGCCGCCGAAGGCTCTTTGAGTTCTTCGGGGAAGCTAGTTCTTCGCGGGAACTAAGTTATATGTTGTTAGGATAACAGATACTCCCTCTCTTCAGGTTTTCTGATAAATGTGTATTTCCACAAAGTGACGTCTGTCACTAACACTTGGTTCTCCGAAGGCGACAGCCTCCAGCTCTGTCGGTTTGGAGCTGCGGCTCTCGAGAGTCACGGTGCCCAGGATCTCGAAGCGCTGCCTTACCTGCAAATTCTGGGCCCGCCCTCAGGGATTCCCGCCCAACCCCCCAGGTCGGGGCGGTCCTTGGTCTGCGCTTAACAAGCCCTCCACGGTAATTCTGAGGCCGGTGGCCGGGACCATCCTTTGAGACACAATGGTTTGGGGGAAAGTTAACAAAAATCAGTTGGGCTAGAAGTGGACTGCAGAGCTTGGCACCCTGCTGCTTCAGCCCCCTTGGTTTGCAAAGGACAAGGTTGGGGTGATCGACTCAAGGTCACTTAAACTTGTAGACTGAGTTACTCCATTCTGTAGATGAGGAGACCAAGGCCCAGAGAGGGATGTGGGACTTATGGATGGAGTTGTCAGCTGGCCAGAATTTGTACTTAGTCAAGCAGCTGTTTTTGCTGAGCTCCTACTCTGTGTCAGGCCTGGCCCACTAGCCAGATTCAGATTTGAGCCTGCATGGAGGTGGGCCCAGCCTCAAGGTCAGCTGGGGGCCCTGGCATGCATTCATGTGGGGTTCTAGATGACGTTTCCAGAGACCTGGCCTGGTTCCTGACCAAGGAGTCTTGCTCAAGTGAGGTTGTTGCCTCACCCCTGCCTCAAGCTGGACCACCCTGGGCCCCTTGCTCAACTTCTCTGAGTTGCCTTGAGCCCTGTGCTGCCTGAGCTCATTTCTGGCTCTAATAGTTGTCTTTCTTCTCAGCAAACACCTGCAGGGTGCTAATACTGGGGTGCAAAGGTGAACGACAGCTGATGGGCATGCTTGAACTGAGGATGAGTGCAAAGGCACCTGTACCCGCCCTGCTGCGAAAGCACAGATGGAAACAGCCTCGTCTGCCAGCTCGAGATCTTGAACTTTGTCCTGTGGTGCAAGGAACCACAGCAGAGGTTGAGGTCGTGGTCAATTTTCAGTTTTAGAAAGGCTGCTTGGGTGACTGTGCAGGGCAGTGCGGGGCCACCCCCTCTGAGACCAGCAAGAAGGCAGCTGCTAACCAAAATGCATTCACTTGATGGACAGCTGAGTCCCTGCCATGGGCCAGGCTCTGAGCTGTGCTGGCTGGCTGTGAGCAGACCCTGCTGCAGGAGCTTGAGACTGTGGAGTGCGAGGGTTTTGCAGACAACCAGGGGTGCAGGTTTACACCTGGAGACAGGAATTGTGAATCAGACATTTACAGAGGGTGGGAAAGAGGGGAGGAGGATAGGGTCCTGGGGGAGGAGAGCTTCATGGAGGTGAGGGCCAGGAGGGGCTGCACCAGGAAAACCCAGGAGGGCACAGCCTGTGGCATCAGATGGGGCAGAGAGGCCAAGGATGGCCTGGCTTGAGGTGGGCCCTGGCTTAAGTCACTGGCAGTGAGGGGGGCTTTGGCAAGAGGGGTGAGATAGGCATGGGAGGAAGTGCATTCAGAGATGGGAGTAGGGTTGGGTGGTTTTGTGTCAAGAAAAGGAGAATCTGAGGTTCTTTCTCTGGGGGAAGGAGTTGGTGGGCAAAGGAGAGAGGAAGGGAGGTGAGGATGGTGTGCAGGTCGCTGAGCATGTGGGTAGGAGGAGTGGAAGGAGGGGCATTGGGCAAGGGGTGCTGGGCATTGACTCGGGACAGACTGAGTGAGTCCCCTCCTCCCACTGCCCTGGATCCAGGGTGGGACAGAGATGACGCCACCCTGGTCCTGGCCCTCTGGGGCTTCAGGGATGGGGATGATGCCCATGGCCAGCTGTGTAGACAGGCCTGTGGGGTGGGGGGTCGAGAGGAGAGCCCTGCAGCCGCAGCTGGTATTCTCTGTGGGCAAACAAGATGTGCCTGCCTGTCTCCTTGGGGGTTTCCGCAGTGGCTCAGAAGGTCATTCCAAAACGTGAGAGGTCCTTGTTCATTAGACATGCAGGCTCCAAGGTGGCCAGCTGGAAGGGACACCATTTGCTTAAATGCCTAAACCCAAGAACTTTGTGGCTTTATAAACTGGAGGCAGGGCCACTGCAGGTCGAGAGGTCTTAGATTCTTCTCTCTGTGACCTCTGGCAAGTCACTGCCCTTCTCAGAGCCTCAGTTTCCTTCTCTGTAAAATGGGATGGATGAGACAGTGAAGTGGCAATGGCTCAATGAGGTGACTCGAATCTGTGAGGGAGGCAACCTCTGGAGATGCTCTGACCTTCCCCCTTCGGTCATGAATTCTGCCAGCTCTAGGTTTCTGAAAGAGCCACTGTGCAGTGTACCTTCACGTCTGGATTAAATGCTTGAATGAATAAATGAATGCATACCTTCCTCCAAGCCTGGCGCCTAAGTCTGCCCACCCAGGAGACAGATTGGGCTTCCTCCCCATTCTCCTCTTCCTCCTTGGGTGGGGTGGAGGTCAGGGCCTCTACTGGACCTGGAAGACCTCTCTGCCCAGTACCAATGGCCCCTGACCCCAGGCCCTCTGAGACAGGCTCTGTGTTGCTGCTGGGGGTCAAGACACCAGGGGTCCAGATCCCCTGGCTGGGCTGCCCATCCATCAGCTGCTAGGCTTGGGTAAAGCTCTGATGTCTTGGAGCCTCAGTTTCTCCATCCATAATGTGGGGCTGACATCAGACTCTGAAGAGACAGGAAGAAAGTTGAAGGATTTAAGGTGCTGTGTAAATTTAGGGACGGGGGAGGCAGGACAATAAAATAACAAATTAATGTCTCTACAGCCCTAATAGGGCCACTCCTTTGGATCCAAGTGCAATGACATTCTCAGGTTCTGTCACTTTCATTAACCTTTGTTTCTCTGCTGGGTCCATCCCTGAGAGAACAAGGCCACTGGGGTTGTTGACATGTCCCGGACCCAGCCTCCGCCCACACAGGTGGAATTTTCCACTTTGTTACTTTTGCAAATATTAATCAAGGCCCCAGCCAGGCAACAGTGGACTCATTGTCTCGTGAAGAGCAAGCCGTTTCTGGCTAATCCTGGCTGCCTCCCAGGACCCCGGAGGTTGGGCCCGAGCTGGGAGAGGGGTCCCCTGGGAGTGCGCCTGTGCTTGCTACTCCCGGCTCCAAGTTCTGCTTCAGCTGGTTGGGCTTCACAGAGTCAAGGGTAGTGCCTGCTTTGAGATCCGGAAGCCCCATGGAGAGCTGGCACCCCGCTGTTCCCAGCAGGGCCACACAGCTGCAAACATTTTCTCTGCTCCAGTGAGTTGGGGCTGGCCCAGGAACACACACAGACGCAGGCTGCAGGGTGAACTCTGCATCAGTACTACTCCTGCCAGCCACCAGGATGGAGCCCCGTGGAGTCACAGCCCTTGTGGACTTGCATTGACTTTTACGTGTTGTCCTACTGGGGCCTCAAAGGAAGTCAGAACACAGAGGAGGCAGGTGCTGCTGCTGTCCTCTCAAAGCCCCAGCGGTCTGTGGGGTTAGGGGGATGGCCTCACAGGGCTGTAGGAAGGACGACTGGAGACATCAGGGGTGGGGCAGTGAGTACTGTGTCGGGCACGCGGAGCAGGGTTGGTGAGCTATTTGCTGGTCAGTGATACTTTAGTTAATCTGTTATCAGTAACATTATTTTGGTTATAGTTGCAGCATCACCATCCACACTTTATGGAGGAAGAAATGGGATGAGTGAGGCTGTGCCGGGAGCAGAGCCAGGGTGGAATCCAGGCCAGGCTGTGAACTTGATAAAATCGCCACGTGCTTTTGGCTTTGCACTTTTAATTCTTTGAAGTGTGTTTTTGGTTCTTATTTCCTTTTGCTCTCCTAACAAACCTATGAAATGGGCGGCTCTGTTCCCATTTTATAGATGAGGAAACTGAGATGTGAGATTTGGGAAATAGTGAAATTTGAACATGAAAACCTAATATATAAAACAGATACAGGTGATGTTGCATATTAGTATGAGTTTATAAGTTCATATTTGTGATTTTTTTTGCATATCGTAGTGAGAACAGCGATGCTGTTTTCATGAGTGCGCTCTTGAAAGCAGGGGCCATGGGTGCGGGTTGACATCTTACACTAGCCCTTGTGCCTCATTGACTCCTGCACGTCCGTTCAGTGATGGAGTCATTTGTAGTTGACACAAGGAAGCAGTGGGACTTTGTTAAGCAGCTCACCTGGCAGTCACAGGACCCTCTGGAGTTAAAACTATCCAGAAGTTTGAAGAGGAAGAGATAGTGGGCACATGTGTGAAAGTTGGCTGGCTAACTGTCTCGTCACTGCACAGGTGGTTTATAAATGAAAGTGTGCATGCTACCCAATAGGCCACTGGGGTGTGATCTGGTGCCACTGCCACGCCATGGCTGGTGATTGCATCTTGACAAGGCGGGCGCTCAGCCCCTCCTGGGCCTTGCTGGCCTCTGGTGGGTCCTGTGGTAG